CGGCTGCGCCCGGCGACAGCGGGGCCGGCGGGGTCTCGCACAGGACGCTGGCCTCCGACAAGGCCACGACGCCGCAGGGCCGACTGCCCACCAGGACCCACACCGAAGCCGGGTCTCTGCTGAACCCTGTTCCTGAGATGCTGAGGATGGTTCCACCTGAAGTGCAAACGCGGAAAGCAAAATCTAAAGGCTGATACTGGGAAGCAGGGTAAGTTCTGGTGCAGCTAAGTGGAAGGGGCGGTGCGGGTTAATGAAACCACAACCAATGTTAAATTTGTGATCATTCGAACAGGAGTAAGAGGCTGTAAAATTCACATGTCAGTAAAATGATATAAGTTGTTATATGGGAAGGATGTCTATAACATTTAAGGCAAACTTTTCAAGTGTCCCTATATATCTTAGACGCCACCAATTCAATCAACTTATACACTAATGAAAAATCAAATTCCTTAGTCTTCTTGTCATCTGCTATATTATCTGACATTTTATTTTATATGGTATTATGTACAGTATATGTATGCTGTTCTGTATACATTCAACTTACATGCTAATAAAAAATCAAGTTCATTGAAGGCTTCTACTTACCTTTTATGTTATTCTGTAGTTCAGTATTCCACATATTATATATTCTAATATGTTCTATGTATTCTACAATATGTCCTATATTCTCTCTCTCCCTCTCTCTCTCTTTCTGTATATATATCAAAAGCCACTGAATTGTGCTGGTGAATTTGCTTCTGTATTCATAGGCTTTGTCTTACTCTTTACTTGAGGAAATCAAAGGTCAAACCCCATCTTTAGGACATGGGGGTTGAAGCAACATAACCCATATCATACCCAAATCTGTGATATAGCCAAGCAGCTTTTTAAAAAGATTTTACTGTACTCAAAAAGTATAATGTGCTATTTCATACACTAACACATGATTACTCATGTGTCAATACATAGCTTTCTATTTTTTCTGAAAATGAGTGGTTGTAGGGATTGCTCTATCTGCCCTGCCTTTACATTACCCCTCTGTGTTTCTGCCTATTTCTGGTTCCTTCGTCTGTGTCCCTAGAGGAAAGTGAAGGTACCAAAAACTCCTTCTTCCTCTCTTTGCACATCTGGTGTCTAAAAGGCTAGTGCTGGAAACTCTTCCTTTGTTTTCCTATTATTCATTCTTGAGTGCTACTCATTAGATGTTTCAGCTTTTCCATTAGAAAAAGAAAACTAAGCAAAACTCCTTTTCATTAAAGTTCTTTAATTTCCTGAGTTTGCCAGGCTAGGGAATCACCAAGTTTTCACACGCTTTAAAGTACACCAGTCAGTTCCTGGAGCCCAAGGAAAGCCGTTCTCCCTGCGACACTGTCTCTGGCCTCGCCACTAATTAATTCAGCAACCAAATCTGAATATCCAGTGACTAGACTTGCTGGATAAATGATACCAGTTGATATGGATTAGGTCCCCTAATTTTTATCTACTAGTAGCTTGATCCCCACTGTGAATGTTAAGAAGGTGGGAAATCCCATTATGGTAATTGAAAGATAGGGCCTTGAAGAGGTGAGTAGACTAGTGAATAAATTAATAATGGTGGCCAGGGGCATGGTTCTGAGGGCTTTAAAAGGAGAGTACATGAGGAACTATCTCTCTCTCTGCTCCACCATTTTCTGCCATGTAAGACCCCTGCATTGCTGTAAAGCCACCACTAAATGTATTCCCTAGACTTTGTGCTTCCCAGCCTCAGAAACTGTAAACAATAAATTTTGTTTTCTTTATAAATTACCCAGCTCCAAGTATTTTGTTATAAGCAACAGAAACTAATACACCAGTCTCATCAGAGCCACTCACCAAGAAGGGACCCACAACAAGGCTCAATGCTGAACACTTCTGTGATGTACTGGATGTGGAGATCAACCCTACAGAAGACAGGGAGAGTGTTAGGAAATAACTGAGAGAGAAAAGAAAGAGTAGGTTGGAAAAGATTTATATATCTTGGGGAGAAGAAGAAAGAAAGGGGCAGTGAGAGAGCAAGGGTGAATGACACTGCCTAACAGAGAAGAGAGGAAATGGTGGGGAAAAGATGTTACAAGGGGTGTCGTCCTGGGCCAGTATCATGCACTGACACCAGTTCCACACAGTGTAGCTACTTTCCACAATGGGGAGAGGGAACTTCTGGAGAAATACTGAGCAGAAGGACTTCAAGGCAAAGAGGGAGACGAGGGTAAGGAAGGGGACATGGCTTGTGCAATCATTGTAATCCATTTATTCAAGGCCCAAGACACAATCCCATCAAAGGTCTACAGCATAGACTCTTCCCTTCATCGTTTATGCCCACCCCACCCCAACCCAGTTCCAGGAAGCTCCCCCTTCCCCAACTAGTAAGCCGAAAGTTTCCCTGCATCAGTCTCGAAGTGCATTGCCTATAGGGTCTCCAGGGTTGTTCAAGTGTTATGATTCTCATGTCTTTATCCTCTAACTTCAGGAATAAAAGATAAAGAAAAGTCCTAACTCAAAACTAGAATTCCCCAGCTGAACCACTGGACCATCAAACAAACCCAAAATTAACATCAAGTGTCCACCTCACCCTTGTGAGCCAATCGTGACCCCATTGATAGAGACTGCAATTCTGTGGAGGCCCGCGGGCAGCGGGGGCAGCGCCACCTGCAGGCCCTGAGCGGTCTGTGCGTGAACCAGGGCCGAGGTATTCTGGACCTGGACTTCCACATCCAAATCTGTATAGTCCAACAGCCGCGCCATTCCAATGAAAAGGGTCTCACCACCTGTGTTGAGAAGAATCTGTTATCCTCTGTGATGTGGATTTGTGGCCCTAACCACCCACTCTATTCTAAAACTGTCTTTTAGGATTTAATACATCGTCAGTCCTGTGCATAATACTATAATTAAGAATTTTAAGACAAGCCTATTTTTTTCCAGTGAAACTTCTAACAACTCTTTTAACAGAGCTAGGACCTAATCCCTCAAGGGAATAAAAAGCACAATTGTCAGGACAATTGTACTCAAGAGGCACTAACTTATATCCACGTAAAGGTAAATCAAGAAATAGTTTGGAGGGCTAATGGTCTTCTTAACCAGAAAATAGCACCCCATGTCCCTTTCTTAGCCTCCATTTTTCTGCTGATAGAAATCTAAAGCTGTATGTTCATGTGCACTGCACCTTATAATAATGCCCTATGTGAGTACAGTAGTTCATAGTTTACAGAGCATTCTCATGCATGTTACCCCATTTGATCCTCACACTGTGCTGATGATATATACAGGGCAGTTAATATGACTGGCATTTTGCATTTGAGGAAACTAAGACTCAGCAACCAAGGCCTCATAGCTAATTAATGGAAAAGTCAAGACCTGAGCCCAGTCTTCTGTCTTGTATTTCAATAGCCTTTTACTTTAATTAGCAATTCTACTAAAATGCTGTGTATACTATGAGTGCTCTAATCTAATTCCTTTTAACTCAAGTATTTATTGAGTACCACAAGGAAGATGCTGCAAAGGGCACACAAATAAGTTAAACACAGATCCTGCCCCAAAGACATCTCAAAGGTAAAAGACATCTCAGCATCTAAAAGAGCTGCTTCAGGAGAAGACAGACAAAAAGAGAGGTGACAGTTAAGCAGTTGGATTGTTCAAATCATGACAGTATTCTGAATATCATGAAGGCAAGAGGGTACTTGAAATTCAACTTGAAAGACAATTCCAAGAGAAAGTGATAATAAAGAATGGACTTATAATTCAAACTTTAAAATTTCACAGTTTTATCTGAAGTCTTTTGTAGCACTTTCTCACTTAATCACACAACGAAGACAAGGGACATGTAGATATAGGTAGGGACTCCATGGGGATAGGCCAAGTTGATGGTGGCTCTTTAGCTGAACACCAAGAAAGGCAATTCTGAAGGGTCTCTACTTAATAAAATGGGCAGCGGAGAACTTCAAAGGATTTTAAGAAAGAGTAGGAGATGATTGAAGCAATTCTTCCAGTCTCTGAGATAAAATAAAAATAGAAGTGTACTTCAAAAAGATTGTGGAAAAGTAGAATTAAAAGATAATACAAATCTTTGCATGAACTTTTTGAAGACCCCTTGTATAGGGGAAGGGAAATCCAGTCTGCAGACAATTAGTCTTAATAAGGGCCAGAAATCAAGTGCACAACAGCAGGAGTGTAAATACACGTGCACACCTTTCTCATGTCCCAGTGTTCCCACAGCTTGGGCTAAAGCTCCTTTAGCCTCTAACATTTGAGAATTACTGCAGAGCTAGCATCTGTAGGACGCTATGGCCCATTAGATGAGGAGAAGAAAGAGTTGCTTGAAAGGGAAAAGTCAAACAAGAGGGATGTGGTGTGGTAGGAAGACTTCGAATCTGCATTCAAATCTTTGAGCTGCCATTTAGCTACCTCTGTGACTTTGGGTGACTCACATTGGGCTCTCAAATCCTTGGATTTTTCATCAATTAAAGCCCATCCCATATGGTTTGCTGTAAGGATTAAGTTAGACATCCTGGGAAAGCATCTGGTGTAGGACAGCACACCAAAAGGCCTCAGTAACTACATTTTTTTCCTCACTCCACATCCTCTTTACTTCATGTCTTCCCAAGCTCTACTGTGAAGGCTGAAGCTTCAGTATAGGGAGCTCAAGGGATTTCAGGGCTGATCAAGGAAAAAGACATGACCACAAGGTGGCAGTAGCACAGAACGAACTTTGGGTGGTGCTTTGACAGGTTCACATAGGAAAAGAAAGCCTCACCGCATGAGACTTTGCAGAAGCAACAGTATAGGTCCACCACCCAGAAAGAGAGGAAGGCAAGGGAACTGGGGGTACAGGGAGATTGCAGAGGGGGCTTATGTGTCTAGATGATGTCACTCAGCAGCCTGGTGGGTTGTCTCTGCGTCAGAGAGCTTCAAAGGGCATCAGTGGCTTAGGTTCTTTTATAGCCCTTGGGTTTATCTAACCTATGCAGTTTTCTGGGGTATGCAAATCAGGCAGATTCTAAGTAGCTAAAAATCTGCTGCTTTTGACTATGTTTAAGATGACTGGATGTGTAAAAGTTTGAATTGGCATTGGCAGGCTTTCAAGCTAATGGGTCCCAGGCTGCTGTGAAGAAATAGACAACATAGAGCCAATATGAGGCCATCTTTGGCTCATTTACATAGCACTGTCTGGCAGAATGATGGCACTCACTCCAACGGAGAACCGACTGAGTGCTTACTCCAGGTCAGTTCCTGGACTGGGGATTTTTACCTCCTTTATCTCCAATTTTCAAGATTACCCTGAAAGAATCATTCCCACCAAACAAATGAAGAAACAAGATAAAGGAAGCTAAATACCTTGCCTAAGGATTGTGCTAAATTAAACTAAATTTAACCTAGGGCTGCCTCTGTACCTTGAGTCCCTAAGTAAGGAGCTGAAATTTTAGTACATAAATAAACTGAAAGCCTCATTAGGAGTATATTTTTCTGTAACAATTAGCTGAATCTTAGCCAGTCACAGCAGCTGAGCTTCAGCCAATCACAGGCTGCCAGCTGATCAGACCATGCCCAAATAAGGCAAACGCCGAACTGTAACCAATCACGCTGTTTCTGCGGCTCACTTCCGTTTTCTGTCTCTACATGCTGCCTGCCCACACTGGGGACTAGAGCTGTCTACACAGCTTCCGGTTCTGAGGGCTGCCTGATTTGAGAATCATTCTTTGCTCAAATAAACTCTGTTAAATTGAATTTGTCAAACATTTTTCATTTAACAAGTGGTTGTACTTGGATTTCTTCAGATCCAGTTTTTTTCTGACTGCAACACCACCCTAATGGTCCTGCACATCAAATTCTTCTTTCCCCTCACGTGCATCTCCTCTGCATCTTCTTCCATTTCCTCTCACCTTCATTGTCACATCAACATCATCTCCTGGGTGGAGATGTGCAGCCCTCCAACTTCAAAGAGACATTCCCAGTAGGCTACCACACTTAGTGGATTTTATAATATGTTCTTTATCCTACCCATGGAAAGATTTAAATGCAAGTGTAAGTTCTCAAAAGAATGGATTGCACTGTATATATCAATAACATGAACTCCTTGGGCTGTTGGTCAATTGTCAAGCTAATCCTAGATGCCTTTGAGGCACTGATGCAATGCATTTATTCTTTTCATTATAGGTAGGAAATTCTATTAAAAGCCAAAATCACTGAAATCTGAATATAACATGGAGCTCCCTCCTTCCTTTTCACCTCATTGGGAAGAATCTATACCACTAAGGAATTTTACACACTTTGGTTGCCTAAGGCAGCAAATTCTTCTTCTGCACTATCTGAGCTGAATAATATTGAAAGCTGAAGAACACTTTCCTTTATTTATGTACTCCTGAGCTTTGGAAAATGAAAATAGTACCAGAAAAATTGAGTTCAGGCTTTTTCTTTGGGAAATATGATGATCTTTTTATAACGAACCCTTAGATATGGCTGCCATAAACTCTGTTAACTGGCATTCAATTAACCAGAAAAGGGTGTTACCTGCTACTTTTCTGAATCTATATGATATGAAATGACAATAAATTATTATAATTCAATCCTGTCATATCATCTGAATCATCAAAGAAAGATTAAATTATTTCATGTAGTTGGTGTTAAAGAATTCATTCTTTTTATGCATAGTATTTCTGAAGAAACAAGAATAGGGTGTTAATCAGAACACCCTATTCTATACTAACATTAAATAACTGTTACAATAGAACCTGCTGCTGAAAACAATATTCCACAGTTAACTATAAGTGGCAACACGCTTGGGATCTATATACAGACTGCCTGGATTTGAAGCTCAGCTCTTTTACTTACTAAGTTATCATCTTAGACAAGTTACTTATTCTCTCTATTCCTTAATTTCTTTATTTGTAAACTGAGGCTAATATTCCTATAAATTACTGGTGAGGATTAAATTGAAGTCTATTTTATGTCTGTGCTATTATTATTGGCACAAACTAGATACTCAATAAGTACTTATTAAACTATTACCTTTGAATTGCCACATCATTTTTATGATGGAAACGGTCCCAATTTTACAGAGGAAAAAACAAATATGAGAAGATTCGTTCAATGATGGCTAAGATAAAAAACAGTTTCCTGATTTTCAGGGAAAAAAACTTCCATTAAAAGGCCATTGATTGCCTTTTTATAGGATTGGTGCATTAAAAAGAAAAAGATTTTGCAGTATCATATATTTTACCTGCTATGTTGCTTCTGTTTCTGCTCAGAGATACGATCACTGGATTTAAAGAGGAGACATATGTAAATGCTCTGGGAAGAACTGCAGAATGGTCTTCTCTGATCACAGTCACATTCACAACATATCCATCTTTTCCCTGAAAAGGGAAATCAATTCTTAAAATTAAACTTCAGTAAGCAAAACTGATTCAAGGGAAGGGAAAAGGTCCATATAGAATTAATTTAAAAGGTTAATTTCAAGAATGGATATATTTTAATGGGTATATTTCCTACTTTCAAGTCTCTCTCTCTCTTTCTCACACATACACAGAGTGACAAGTGCTTGGTCTAGACAAATGCAGCATTGAACAGATGCAGAAGAACTTACTCTAAAGGGTAAAAGAATGATTTGCAAATAACAAAGTGATTCTGCAAAAAACAAACAAAAAAAAAGCGGCAATTTTCTATAGATTAAACTTCAGTAAGCAAAACTGATTCAAGGGAAGGGAAAAGGTCCATATAGAATTAATTTTAAAGGTTAATTTCAAGAATGGATATATTTTAATGGGTATATTTCCTACTTTCAAGTCTCTCTTTCTCTCTCTTTCTCACACATACACAGAGTGACAAGTGCTTGGTCTAGACAAATGCAGCATTGAACAGATGCAGAAGAACTTACTCTAAAGGGTAACAGAATGATTTGCAAATAACAAAGTGATTCTGCAAAAAACAAACAAAAAAAAAGCGGCAATTTTCTGTAAAGTCTATAGCTAGCTAAACTATCCATCAAGTGTGATAGTGCTCTCAGACATGCAGGTACTCAGAAAATTTCCCTCCCATACATGCTTTCACAGGGATGTTTCTTAAGGTTATGATCTCATAAAATAAGTAATAATCAAATAGAGAATAAAATATGAACTCCAAGAAATAATGAATCTACCCGGAAAAGTAATCAAGGGAAGTACTAGGATGAAATCTGTAGAATAAATCTAGAAAAAACTAACTTAGATTGAAGCAGAACAGAGAGCTTCGAGGAAAAAGAGTAACTAATATGATGATACTTTTAAAAAAGATGGTTGATTTTTATTATCAGAAAGACATGTTAAGAAAAAAATAGGAACTCTAGCAATAAACAAGGAAAAAATATACAAAAACACAAAAGAAAAAATATACTACCTGGTCTGCCAGTATCGTTTAAATAGTTATAATAATACAAAGTAAATATTAATCAATATGTTTTATTTATTTAACAAAAAAGGTTCTGTAACTGTATTTAAAAGAATTAAAAATGGATGTTGCAAAAAGAGGGACTTGTAGAAAGGGGAGGAGGGGGAAGAGACCACGATTGTTTTATTATTTTTCTCTTAACCTTTGCATTTGATAAAAATTAAATGTTTGCTGTTTTAATGTTTATCTTCATGAGTAAAAGAAATCCAAATAGTACAAATTTTACCCATTAAAATGGTAAATATATATTAAAGTAATAATATCCATTGTTGACCAAAGTGCCAAAAATCAGACACTTGCACAGTGATGGTGGGTGTATAAATTGAAAAGGAATTTCAGACAACTGGATACTACATATCAAAAGCTTTAGAATTTAGATTAATTTATCCTGAGAAAATAAATGTGCCCAAAAATACAGTTATCAGGATGATCAAAGCTCTGTTGTTTACAGCTAGGGAAAATTTAGAAATCATCTAAATGTCCAATGATAGGGAATAGCTAAACACATTACAGTACAACCATATATTGGAATTGCATGTTGTTTACATATAAAAGCTAGCTTTTCATAATATTTAAGGAACTGGATGAAATAAAAATGTCGGACCAATGATCAAAGGATATTTTGAAGCCTATCTTCCAGAGAATCTTTATTTGTTTGGTAGACAGCCATCTTTTGTCATCTTGGGTGTGCTGGGAATCTTAACCCTAAAGTCAACTCTGAATAGAAAGTTCAACTGCAGCTGAGAGTGTGACTCTCACCAACAGCACCAGGGAAGGGCCCAGACTAAAATCTCTTAATAAGCATGAGATAGCATTAACTGAAAGGAAAGGGGAGCAACATTTTGCAAACCAACACCCAGAATGTGCATTAGATAAATTTATTTATTCTGTGGCACTAATGCTCATTGAGAATGTAGACTGAGACTGCCTGTTTGTCTTCTTTTTAAATGAATTAACTGGTGTTAATTACAAGCTCCTTTGGAGGGGTTAGTTTCCCATTCCATAGCAAAACAGACAATATAAATAATATCATGATGAGACACTCGCATCAATTAATTTATTTCGAAGAAGTGATTGACTGAAAACCTCACATTAATAATGGTGACTCACCCCAAGAGAAAGAGATTGCAGAGGATTCCACTTACCCTAGGTGGAACTTTGCATTGAATTCTTCGTGAATTGCTTGTGGTGACATTGATGATACAAGACTGAGATCCAAAGAACACCAGGCTAATACCTCCCAAGCTAGAGCCTCGGATAGTGGCCCAGAGCCCTCCTGTAACAAAAAGTAGCATTTTCATATGGGATCCACAGCTATACAGGCAAACAAAAATTATTTATTCACAGGAGAGATAAAACGAAAGTAAAATATGAAACTCTTTAGTCAAAACACAAGGCAATTAGAGGGGAAAAGGGAGAGGGAGAGGGGGGTTAGGGAAAAATTGGTTAATGGTCACAAAGAATGAATACGTGTTGTAATGACAAATATACCAACTATCCTGAACTGATCATCACCTATTGGTACAAGTACTGATAGTCAACCTGTACCCCACCAACGTGTATAATCGATTATGTCTTAATTAAAAAACAAAACAAAACAAAACACAAGGCGATGCTCAACCTGCAGAAAAGACTCAAGTTAAACATATAAACTACCATATAGAGAGGGAGAAACAGTGACTAGAGGGCAGAGAGAGGTAGTAACACATCCTGGAGACCCTTAAGAATTTTTTCCTCATCTTCCCCATCTTTAAATGATGGTGTCAGCCCTTCCAGCTTTGTGATTTTATACCACACGTCCCATAATGATATAGAAATGGCTGGCATCACCACACACTGCCACCAGGATTTCTCTGCTGACCACTGAAGAGCACCCACAGAAACCCGCATCTCCTCACTGCAGACATCAGCGAGAAGAGATGGCACTAATCCTACTGGCGTCGTGGCACCCTCTCCCGTTTGGAGGAGTAGACCTTGATCTAGCTGATAAACAGGAAACCCACTTATGATTGTTGGGAAGATGATTCTGGTCTGCATCTCCCCAGAAGGCGATACAAGAGAGGCAGCGAGTCCACTGAGTAGGAACTTGTATCCCTTGACAGTGGGAGGGGTGCAGGAGCAGGGTTATCTTCTCCAGCCATGTCAGGGAGAGAAGGGCAAATTTACACAACCTGATGAAAATCTCTGGGGACAATGTGACTGGGTGGAATAATACCCTGAAGTCAAATTTATAACATACCTTGAAGAGTCAGGGCAAGGCTACCATAGACTTCAAAGTTAAAGAATAAAATAGAAGAAAAGAGCAATACACAAAAGCAACATAAAAGATACAATATCTGAAAACAAATGAGAAAAATGCAAGAAAAAAAAACTCAAAGAAAATGTTGAAATGTTGCTGAAGAACTTAATGAATAGATTAAAACT